AAAAGTGACAAAATCGTGAATTATCACTGATCTACGTCACGTGCTGCGGAAAAAACGTACTACGCCCTGGCCCAGTTAGACTGATGTCGTAAGCGACGGGTTACATACTAGTTTATTAAATTAAATTAATATGCGCTCATAATTAAAATTGATTTTTTTTGATTGGCTGGATTAATTATGCAAGTCGGGACGATCATTTCCTTATTTGGACGGTCCCTCCTGGAGAAAAAAAAAAGACCAAACGAAATATAATAAGTTTTAAAAAAATAAAGTTTGATAACAGATAATCAATGATCTGCAACCTTAAATTTTTTTTCAAAAAAAAAACTGATCATAATTACGTTTTCTTCGACACTTATTATTTTTTTACACACTCGTAATTGGTATGCGTTATTACAAATAATGACATTTATCGTTGTTTTATAAAGTTTTTAATTACATATCAGTATCAGTATTGCTAACCCATCCTTACAAATGACCGATATGTATTATTTACGTTTGATCAATTCAATAAGAATAACGGATTAAAATCATTATGAATAATATCAATGAAGACATTGAATTGTCAGAAGAGGATATGTGGGATTTCTCGTTGGAACCACTGAAACATTGGAAAGACATTGACCTCCAATTAGGTTCCAGCTTTCAATCAACAACATTGGTAAATGATGTTTCATCAGATTCTGATACGGAACAAATTTATGAAAAGACTCCTCGATCAAACAAATCTTGGATATCTAAAGAACCCATAAAACTTCCCATTAAATTGCCTGATGGTAAAATAAGACATCAAGAGTCTAATAATGACTCTAGTAATGAAAATGGCGAAGAAAAAGAAAATTCATCTTCAGATAATGATAATCTTGATGAGAATCTGCAAGATGACATGAAGGCTAATGAAGTAGATGAGGATATTGCCGAATTCATTTCCATTCAAAATATATCAAGCAGTAATGATATCACTCAGAAGAAAGAAGAGTTGGCCACAATAGCCCAAATGGTTATTGAAGACCCGGAAAATAACGTAATGCAATTTTAAACATTCACATTTGAGCTTTCTTATGATTTAAATATTAAATTTGCAATAATAATATAAGACCAGGCAACTTAAAATTTTGAGAGAAATCGCGACGAGTAATGATCTAACAATCAAGAAGTTGGCACTATTGACCCAGCTTGTAGTATATAAAGATATCATTCCTAGGTAGGACTTCGACATGTACCATGTTCGTCTTTAATGTACTTGGACTTTTATATAAATCATAAATTTCAACCTTTATAGTTATCGGATACGACAATTGACTGATAAAGAAAAGGCTACAAAGGTTAAATATTTTTTACGTATAAACGACATTTTGTTGTAACATTTGTTATAACGATTTGAAATAAACAAAGGTATCCGAAGAAGTCAGAAAATTACGGCATTTTGAACAAAGTCTTGTATCTAATTATCAGGCTTATTTAAAATCTCTGGAAACTGAATTAAAGGGTATGAATTATCTGTTATCATTATTCTCACAAAGCAAGCTTGTGTTTCTTCTTTTAATTTTGACTTTTTTCGATCATTTTCCAAGAACATACAATTGCAGAGACAGCATTAAAATGTATGTGTGATCTCTTAATATCAGTCACACATTTTAATTTTCGATTAAATTTGATGATGACTATTGTGAGCAGGATGAGTACTGCCAAATTCACTAAGGTTTATTTTGAATATCTTCATATTTTGTAATATCATTATATGTATTCATATCTTTGATATTATTTCAGATGTCTGCGATGTGTTGTGATACGATAATTGAAGTCTTTAAAAATGATGAGTCCGGTGAAGCAAGTTTGGATGCAGTCAAATTAATAACTAAGATGATTAAATCCAAAAGTTATGTTGTGCACGAAGAGGTAGATTATTTATTATTTACCAAAAAATTTTTGATAAACGACATTTCTAAGAGGTTTTGGGGTTTATCATACATAGGTTTTAAATACTTTTTTGCACCTCCGACTAAAAGAAGAACTAAGTGTAAAAACATTAAATAATGAGGATTCCGTTAATATTAAAACCAAAGGTAAAAAGAGGAAGTTTGTTAAACAAGGATCAAAAAAGCATTTGTCAAAAAAATTGAGAAAATTGCATAAGGAGAGAAAAGAAGTTGAAAAGGAAATGAAAGAGGCTGAGGCTGTTGTGAATAGAGAGGAAAGAGAAAAAACGGTAGGTTATTTTCACCAATGATGATGGGTTCGCTATATTACTTATTCACGTGTTATATATATATATATATTATATATCAGCAAACTGAAACATTGAAATTGATCTTTAATACCTATTTTCGAATATTAAAACATGCCAATTCATCACCACTTTTAGTTTCTGCTTTGGAAGGATTAATAAAGTTGTATCAATATATATATTATTTTATTTTTATTTTATTTTTTTTTTTTGTTCTTTGGTTATTTACAATCTGTATTCATCATGTACACTTATATGATTATAGGTTCGCGCATCTTATCAATGTTGATTTTTTTAATGATTTACTAGAATTGCTCAAAAAGATAATGGTTGGTCCACAAGTTGAAGATGATAATAAAAATTCTAGTAGAAGAGTGGATACAAGGAGAAGCTTATTGTGCATAATAACTGCATTCCAATTACTTTCCGGACAAGGTACATATTAATATATTTACCTATAAAATTTTTATTATCATCATTTATGTTTCTTTTCATTTAATAGGTGAAGCACTTAATATCGATCTGAAAGATTTTTATACGCAAATGTATAAAATAGTAATGCCACTTGCACTAAATCCATACATGGAACAAAACGAAAATAAAAGAATGCAAAAGACAATAATGAATGATAATAAAAACGAAATCAAAGATAGTAATAACATCAATTTGTTATCGGAACAACAGTTATTAATGGATGGATTTGATTACATGTTTTTTAGGAAAAGAACGGTGAGTTGTCAAAAATTTTTATATAATTAACCACTCTTGTTTATTTTATGTTTATGAAGCTGTTTGTATTTCAGATTCCCATTGAAAGATCTGCAGCATTTTTGAAACGGCTCTCAATTTCATGTTTAAATTGGCCGAGTAAAACTGTATTAATATGTCTAGAAAAAATGAAAAAAATGATTCAGGTGTGCCATCATTACCTTGTACCTAAATTATTGTTAATACCGTTTTCTTAAGATTAACGTTATTATAAATAATATCAAAGAAACAATCACGATTAGATTCACTATTGATATCAGATGATAGACTTTGCAATGGGGTATATCGCGCAGACTTGGACGATCCTGAATTATGCAACCCATTGGCAACTAATTTATGGGAGTTGTGTTTGTTAGAGGTAATTTAAAGATACTGAATATTTTCTTTTAAAAGCGATATTAAATGCGAATTTAAAATTATTTTATTATTTTTTTTTAATTCCATTAGAATCACTATGATCCAAAAGTACGTGCTATGGCAACTTCATTAGCAATTTTTATACCGAATAGTGAGAAATCTGTGTAATAATTTTATAATGTTAAAATATCAGTCTGTGATTAGTTCTATTAAAAACTTTTGCACATATTTAATTTTTATATAATCGATTATAGATCAGATGACACAATTTTAATTTTTTGTATATAATATTTCTCTGTTAGCGCTAGACTTATGTCCAATTATTTTAATGCTATTGGAATCAAGTATATACAATTATTTTTTTAAAAAATCTTTAAATTAAAATATCTTAACGACTATTGTCGGCGAGCCTTTGTTTCAGTTGGATTAGCTTAGTTGGAGATAAAATTATTATCTTAACAAAATAACTTTTCTTGATGATTACTTAGGCCGCACAAATTTAATATTTTGGTTTTCATAACATGAAACTTTTAAACAGACCCGGCCGGCCGGCTTTTTTTTTTAAATTTCATATATAAAAGTTTTATAATTTTTTTTTAAAAAATTTTAAAAATCCTACCCGGTTATTAAAACTTATAAAAAAATTTTTTTTACAAGTTTTCAAATTTTGACCCGGCCGGGTTATGAAAACAATTAATTAATTTTGCATGGCCTTATTTCAAATTTATATTAAAATCCGTTTAATATTCTTGGTTTTGCTACCAAACAGACTTGCTATTAACAAAGCTTACATATATAAAATATTGAAAAGTAGGTATATAATAAATAGTTTATATTTTGGTTTAAGTTTTTTCTTTAGCAGACTTCTTCACATATTTGGTATTTAAAAAAGAAAGATATTCTGGTAGCAAAAGTAGTGTTTTATCAATATCTTAACCAAAAATATCTAAAGCAAAAAGATAAAAGAAATAGCAAAAAAGATGCTCTGTAACTGAAATATTCATAATATAACAATAATATCTTTTGCTACTATTTTTTTATCAAAATTTTTGACAAAAATAAAATTTTGATTTATCTTATTAAAAGATCAGCAATATTTACCACTTCTATATTAAAAAAGCTTAAAATATAATATAATAAATAAAAATATAACAAATATATAAAGTTACCAATTAAGTTATAGAAACAAAATTAAAGTAAATCCAAAAATAATTTTAGTTTAATTTAGATATATTCTGTTAGAAATCAAGACTCTTTGTAATAGTGATTTTGGCTAATAATAAAAAATTAATTAAAAGTAACTTATTAACTTAGTTAATCAATTTTTTAAAATTAGTTAATTTATTTTATTATTAGAATTATAATATTTAAAGTGAATCTAAATATAAGCAAAGTTGAATTCAAAATTTTTAGTAAAATCTAAATTAAATAATATAATTTTAAAATTAACTAAGTTGGCTAAACTAATAAAATTTATTAGCTTAATTATAGCTAAAAATTATAATCAGCTAAAATTACTACTTTGTTTTTTTTTGGTCTTATCTTATATTTTTTAGTTTTTATTTCTTTATATATTTGTTTTTATAGTAAACTTGCTGTAGCTTATACTATTTTTCAAATTTTCTATAGATATTTATAGTATATTTTTTAAACTATCTAGTTTAGTAAGCAAATTTGGTTGCTAAAATAATTTGATAAAACAGAATAAAAAAATTTTTTTAAGAAGATCTTTATTTTAACTAGTTATGATAATCTTCAAAAATCCAAACTACACATTATATTTAATTGCTACAGTATAACATACTTTAAATAATTCAAACAAAGAATATAAGTTTATATAATAGCTATAAAATATGTTATTTTATCTGAACTTTTAAGTTATATTATTTTTTTTATATAGTTTAAAAATTAGCTCTGCAAAGCTGGTCATAAAGAATCTTTAACTAACTTTAATTGTCTGGAGTATAGTGACAGACACTTAATTTTTATGTATTAAGTGATGTAAAAGTTACATTTTTAATGCATTTTGACTAACAAATGTTTCTTTTTGATGCATTAATATAATTATTATAATTAATATATCAATAATATAACTTTAAAATTTTTTGTCTGTCTTTTTGCATAACATGTAATTACAAAAATATTTTGTAAACAACAATTGATTACCAGTACAGTCAGGATATTACTAATTATGATAATACTCCAGACTTATATCAGTTCTTGATTCCTAGTATTATATTATAAAAGGTATCTTTATGTGATAATTATAAAGATCCTTTATAATTGTTATATGAAGATACTTTTTTACTATTTTTTTTTTTTTTTTTGGTTTTAAGATGACCTCTTGGTTGATTCTCTTTATTCAATTATTAGTCAAGTTTTATCGTACGCTAAGCCCCTTACGATGCCTGTACAGTATACATATTTTGGAGAGTACAAACTAGCCACACGTACAACTTTTGATTGCCTATTTAAGTAGTCCACTTATTACTAAGTTCTACACTAGATGCCATACCTATAACTCAACTAGGGAGTTATCTATTTAAATCCTCTGCGCCATATGTGGGTCAACTATTATTATAACCGAATTGGGTTATATCCCTTAAGAACATCGATTTAAGACTTTAAAGCAAGCTCAACCAGTAAGCTCTTTATCCTTGAGGTAAACTACTTTTTTTACTATTAAAATTGATCATAAAGACTATATATATAATAATCAATCCTATTAGTTGATTTTTGAGACAGTATTAAAAAAGTTTTATAAGATAATAAATATATGATATCTAGTATATAATATACTTTAATTCTAGTTTAGAAAATATATCTTAATAAACTTTAAAGCAATTATACAAAAATTGATCAAAAAAAATTTTAGCAAGCAAATTTGCTTGCTAGATAGTTTAAAGGATACCTAACTTACAGTAACTTGAAATCTTATATTATATTTTACTTTAATATTATTATACCTTGAGCTAGATGCTTATTAACCAAACCAGATTAATCTTTTTATTTTTACTCTTAAGTAGAAACAGAATTCTCTTTGTTTATATATTTATTAGTATTAATATTACTACTATTAGATAATATCATTATATTGCTTTATTTAATATAATTATTTTCTTATAGATTAAAGATATTGTAATTCTTTGGTTATTTTCTAATTAGAGTTTTGGCTATTAATTTGTCTCTTATGAGATTTAAAATAATAATTTTGTAATTAATGATCTCAGAGTATAATCATTTTATTATTAATCTAAAGATCTTATTTTTTAGTATTAAGATAAACTCTTGGTTATATATACTTTTATTATATAATATAGTTATTATTTCTTAAATTTAAACTTTTCTAGACAAACTTACCTGAAAAATTATCATAAATATATTTATGATTTATATTTTTTAATTTTTAAAATATTCAAATAAAATTATTTTTAATAATATTTGAAAATAAAGATTATATTATAGCAGTATTTAATTTTATTTTATAAGAAAAAAATTTTAAGTT